GCAATAGCAAAACCAAACATATCTTTGGCATAGCAAGCTGGGCAGAAGAAAGTGCAGCATTCAAAAAGTCAAAATGCAAAAAAAAAAAAAAAATGAGACGGGAAACTGATGCTTCTTTGTAATGTGCTTTCCTATGATCTCCCTCCTGCCCCCAGAACCTTCTTAGCACCCTAGATCTCATGTTTCTTCCACTGTAGGGCTCCTTAGCCCCCACTCCCACACCATTCCTAACTCCAAGTTCCAAACACTGAACCTCTCAAATTCCAGAGCAACAAAAGCTAGATTCAAAGAAAGAGTCTTGAGAAAGAGACTTGAAAATCCTTGATAATCAAAACCAGGCAGAAAGGACAGAGGCTGACAATGCCCCCACAGGATTCTCCCGTGACTGTTGTGGTAGAGAAGCAGCAGACCCAAGATTAACAAAGCCAAATTAGAGGTGAAGAACCTAGTAAAGACTCAAAAGTTGCAAACAAGAAGTAGCCCTTGTATAGGAGTACTTGGATGTCTCCTATCCATGTGCTGATTGCCCTTCATGGGAAGATAAAGTGATTGTCCCATTTAAAGGTATAAGGTACATTCATCATTTACGTATTGTTAGTGGTACATTCTAAATTAATCCACATACTGAAACTCTGCAGTTCATCTCTATCTTCGTAAGAGAGCAGGATTTGAGCTGGAATTTTCTGAGGATCTAGAAGTCTAGTATTATTAATTACATAAATCCCATTAAAAATAGTGGTTGACTTAAAAAAAAATAAAAGGATCCTGGGCCAGTCAAAAATTTCCTGAAACTTTTGCTCTTAAGAAAAAAATAACCACTGTAATATTCTGAGTAGTGCTAGGAGTATTTTCTTTTGCACTAACAGTAAACTCATGAAAACGCATTTTTGGGACACCAAAACTTTTCACAAATATGATGCAAATTTGGTGAGTAGTTTCTGTTTAAAAACGAGCCCAAAGGATTACTTTTAGCCATTTCAAACCAGTATTTCATATAGAAATTTAGCTAATATTTTCTAAACTACACACACAATGAAATTAAAAAAAATAAGGAGAAAAAAATCATTAACTTTGCATGCATGTCATTTAGTACACTGATGGGTGTAGAGTACAAAGATTTGCTTCAACAATGATTACCTTTAAATCACTCATATTTCTACAGGTTTCCTTCTAAAATGGGATAAAGCATGTTGAAACATTTGTCAATTTTCAGTGACAAACAAAAAAATTTAATTTCCCATCTTCTTTTTCCTCTCCCAATGTTGATGTTTTCACCAAAAACCATTTTTTCTGATCTCTCTCATGTGTGTTACAGATTACACTAATCCTGAGACAGTAATGGTGACAGCTTACACTCTCCCCTTGGCAATGGATAAAATGCAGATGGTAACCTCTAGACAATAATGTGCTGCCAATATTTTAAGCATGGGCTTCCACAAAAATCCCTGCCTATAGTCTGTAATAAACTCCATTCGCCAAGGGATGTGTGCTCTGCTTGCAGGAAAGAGGGATAAGAATCTGGACAATCCTGCATTATTTGCTGCCGATATTTTTTTTTAAATACCTGCCACGTGATATCACAAAGGTAAAACATTTGCTTTTCAGACAGACTTGTACACAATGCAGGCACAAGTTAACCCTGGCCAGCATTATTTATTGGCCTTTGGAGAAGTGTGAACACCACAGAGACAGGGAAATCATTCAACTTGCTCTAACACTTGGTGGCATAGCTCTAACAAGAGGACTCCAAGAGTTCCCAGAATTCCTTCAGTGCATCATTGCATTCAGATTATCACAAATACTTTAGACATTTGGAGACCTACACCTCCGCATAAATGATGGTTAGAGTCTTAAAAACAAGTGTAAGATACATGAAGGCTCTAGCACAAACCGATTACCTACTTAATTCTCTATTCCTCCGCTAAGGTTATCAGGTTTTTCTCTTGTGCCAATAAGTATTGCCCTGTGAAACTAGAGTTTGGAATCTATACAACCCAAAAGAGGATTTAATGTAACTATCAGCAAAACAGTAAACAAGGTTTAAAACAGTGACACAGCATCCTACTGTCATTGTATCTGTTGTAATTAACTTTATTTTTTATGATGGGTAAATAGAATGTTATGCAGTCATTTAGACTTATAAACAAATTACTTCACAGAGCTCCATGAAATGATTCAGAATAAATCTCTAAGGGTATGTGTACACAGTAGCATGTACGCAATTTGAGTAATGCAAATTAGGTAGCTTATTTTGAAATTTGGTGCTGTCTACACGCGCTAATTTTGAAATAAATCAGTATTCCAGTATCTTTCTTAATCCTCATGCAACGAGGTTTATACGAACCTGGAATAACACACCCATTATTTCAAATGTATTTCAAAATAATAAGCATGCTGTTAAGATAAGCAGAACGCTATTTCGGGATAACAGACCTTATCCCAAAACAGCGCCACTGTATACACATATCCTAAGAGTTCTACATTTACTTGTCTAGTTCCCACAACTGTTCTAGGTCAGATAGTGTGGCACAGAAAACATGCAATTCCTTTCCCATCGAGCTGGTCAAGACATTACATGATGTGAGTAGCTACTCTTCTCTGACAGGTAGGCCAATATTTCTATTTTCTGCTATTCTAGTCATGAAACATCTGAGCATTGCCTCAGTTGATTTAGTGCCAATTCGAGGCAGCTTATAGATGTCTGTGTTAGTAACTGGACCAAATATTCTTGATGAAGCCTTGTCACAGATTCACAGCATGTTTCTTAATACTTTCCCCCTATAGCTAGATATTACAGGATGTTGTAAAGCCAAAAAGATAGAAGAACACATGTTCAGTAAACTGCTATAACAAGGATTTTAAATAGAACATATACTCTGGTATGCTTCAGGTGGAAATTATTTTCAAAATCATTGTTGGCACACTAACATTTATGTTTAATTAACATTTTTTATTTCATATTGTTAAAAAACGTGTTTGCCCTCCTATCATTTAACAAAGCAGAAGTTCATTAACTGAAAAGACCAAGTCTGCTCTGGTAGAATCAAAATCAGGCAGGTAGAACATATATCTTATTAAAGTGTTATTGGCAAAGATTGTACACGACATCATTGCTATAACCTTTTCTGATTACACTGCACTTGTAGCTATCGCCAAATGCTCCCATCATCCACAACATGGGAGCACAAAGACCCAGCACAAAGTGAAAATTGCTTCATTAGTGGGGACAGATCCTGGAGAGTCCAATTGCACACAAACCACTCAGCTGTGAAGAGAATTGTTCCACAGCTGCACTGTACATGGGTAAATAGTGAAATGTGAACTTACTGACACAAGACAGCATAAGGAGGCAGGTAATCCAGCTACTCCTAGCAAGAGTCTGCAGTAGCATTTGGATACAAGCTGCAGAACACTATACCCCACATCTAGGTTATAATCATAATTCTGCTAAGGTGCATGCCTGCGCAGCTATGCCCAAAGAATTCTTCCCTTGCCCACCTCCTCTGGAGATCCGCACAACAGCACTCATGCAGTGGGGCTGGTTGAGATGGTGTGGTGAGGGACCCACTGGGGCAGGGGATTGGGACCTGCTGTGGCCATGTGGCAGGGGGCGGACCTGTTCTAACAGCTGAGGCAAGGAACGGGACATGCAACATGGCCAGTGTGGGGGGATGGGGTCTGTGCTGGTAGATGGGACTGGGACCTGTCGCATGATGGCTGCGGGTTGTCTACTCTGGTGGCCGGGAATGGGACATGCCGCATGGGTAGGAGGGGAGGTCTGGTCTGGCAGCTGGAAACGGGACATGCCGCATGGCCCAGGGAGGGCGGGTTCTGCTCCAGCGGCTGGAAACGTCTGTGTGTGTTAATAAACTGAGTGCCGCAGTGCACACACTCAAACCAGCACACATGACCTCAATATTGGTGCACAAGCCAAAACTCACTTTGCTCATGGTTGGAAAATCTTAGAGGGAACACTGGTTATAAGAGTGGATTCTATCCTTTCAAACTTATTATTTCTGTGTACAAAGCCCTTTTATTCATGTCTTATGCCTGGGACTAAGACTGGCATTCTTGTTTCAATTCATGTATAATATATTTTAGAATATGTCTGTCTGTCTGTGTGCTACTCTGTTTGTTCAAGAACTCCTCCTAAATGGAGTTTGGAGCTAGGGCTACCAAATTGGTAGGCAGTTCCCTCTTCTCCTAACTTAAAGCAAGGTCAGGGTTGGTTGTGCCAGAACTGGGAAAGGGACTGTTTTCCTTAGCATGCAAAGGGAGGGGATGTTGTTCAGAGGGATGCAATATAAGAGAGGCCACTGGAGCCAGAGTGCCTGCAGGAGAGAGCTATCCTGCAGTGTCCCCACTGGGCACAGCTATAGCTCCAAAGGGGTGGGCAGCAGGTCTGGGGTTCTGCCATTTTGCCTGACAGCACACTGAGTAAGTAGCACTACTACCCCAGACCTTTCCCTGCCTCCTGGCCCTTGGCTGCAGCACCAGGGGTGGGAGCTTGTGGGGGGGTGGGGGGAGAAAGGCCCCTGGTGGCCAGGAGGGGGGACTGAGG